CTACTGTTTTTAAACAACGACCATTCTTCAATGCTTTTTTTTAGTGCGCAACATGCCTCCCAAAACCTGTTAATTGGATTAGAGAGTTTCTATCACATAATTATCTACGGGTACAGTAGTTCAACTGAAGTTGATGGAAAAGAAAAAGAAAAAAGGAATAATTTCATTTAATTTCAAGAAAAACTGGGAGTAGTTTAGATCTAAAATTGACTTTAAACTTTAAACTATTAGATTGGAGATGCCCTAACAAAATACCAATTTAAGTCATAACAAAATAATTCATCCAATAACAATGCAAATGCTTTAAACCGCTTCAACTAATTTAACTGATTTTTACTAGACTTGTTCCTTTTTCTAAAGTTTTTATCCCTCTTGGAAGACCAATGTAAATTGAATCTTCAAATTCGCGAACACAATTCTTCATTTTGCAAATAATATAACCAAAATTCAAGGGGCTTAGACCTGTTTGTTTACTACCAAACAAATGAATTTGAACGACAACCATGAAAATGAACGGTTCCATATTATACTGTTTTTAACGACAACCATTCTTCAATACTTTTTTTGGTGTGAAAATGCCTCCCAAAACATGCTAATTGGATTAGTGAGTTTCAAAGGTGTCCTAAAACAACGTAGAAAATCGGGACTTGTATACAATTTGGAAGTTTTGGCTTCCTTCATTATGAATCCCTTGCCTAAAAGGACAAAATCTAAACCATGTGCAAAATCATATATTAGCTTCCATTATTTTGGTGTTTGACGAATTTCCCAAAGTACCCATTAAGTTTAAAACTTAAAAACACGTTTTATTCTTGATTTGTTGGGATAATGAATTAATTTTATGGAGATTTGGCCAATGGTCAATAAAAACTTTACTAATTAGCCATATATCAATGGATAATTTATTTTTGAACATAATTAATGAAAAAGTTATAATAATTATGCATAGGTTAATAGAGCATGCCACATAAGTTTAAACTAGTTATAAAATGACTATTATACCCTTCTCTCTTCACTTTATTCCATTCCTTATCTCTTCACTCTTCTTATTTCATTTTCTATCATGTCTCTATCTCCCCTTCTTTCTCTTCACTCTCTCATGTTTAGCTCTCCTACCCATGCCTCTCTCTCTTCTCTCTCTTCCATCAAACCTGAACAAATAGTTCGATTAATCCCAGTGCTCTGAAACTTCCCTATTACCAAACACAATCACATGGCGAGAGAAAAAATGAAATTCCAAAAAAAGTGCAATAATCGGCAGCACGAAGCAAAAAACAAAAAAAAAAAAGAAAAGAGATGTAATAGATATCCAGCAAATCTTCAAAGGCTTTGGACATGGAGATTGTCTTAAGGGTAGTGTCCATCAAAAATCCTCTTGAATTAAAGGTGCGTTTGCAAAGAGTTTTGCAGTTTGCAATTCAAAATCAAGAAACAGACACATCGTGTGTTTGAATTTAAATATAAAAGGTTGCACAAGTGCGAAGCATAGGAAATGAAAAAAAAACAACCAGAAAACAGACACTGCAACATAGTGTCTAAATCACAACGTAAAAAGAAAGAAGAAGAAAAAAAAATCAGGAAACAAACACTGCAATACAGTGTCTGAATAAAAATGTAAAAAACAGAACCAGGAAACGAACATTGCATTGTAGTGTCTGAATCTAAATGTAAAAATAATATAAAAAACAGAGCAGGAAACGAACGTAGTGTCTAAATCCAAATGTAAAAATTAGGAGTTGCGTGAGGTGTGAAAAATAAGAGGCGTGTGAGTGATAAAAAAAAAAAAAAAAACAAAACAAAACCAGAAAACTAACACTGTAACGCAGTGCCTGAATCCAATAAAACCAGAATCAGAAAATAGACACTTCGTTGCAGTGTCTAAATCCGTATTGACTTATTCCAAAATATGAAAATGAGAAAATATTGTCATTTAAAGTGGATGTCAGCTGTAATAGCACATTTTGTAAAAAAAAAAAAAAAAAGGTTAGAGACACCACATTTTGTCTACTATATAATGTATAAGTGATGTGTATGTGATATGTCAATTAATAATTTTAGTGAAATTTTCACACCATCTAAAAGGTTTTTCTACGCAATTGTACTTTAAAAATTCAAATTCAATTCAACCATTATCAAATAATATAAAAAGGTGCAAATCTCACGTTATATATAATAGTACATACCTTTGCCACCAATGGAACACCACCGCAATTTTCAGCAATCTCCCTTCCAATTGTATCAAACTTAGGATCACTGTTATTGGTGAAAGCTCTATTTTTCATGATGGACCAACATTCATCCACAGAAAGTTTTCCCAATTTATGTCGCGGAAGTAGCTTTTCTGAGATTGATGCGACTTCATCTTCGCGAGTGGTGACAATAATTTTGGAGCCTTTAGCAAACTAAGCTTTGACAAACATTCCATGAAACTCTCCCATAGTTTGGAATCTTTGTTCCAAACGTCATCAAGTACGAGTAAGTATTTTTTTTCTTTCAACTCTTCATCAAGGGACAAAAGCAGAGTATGCTGATTATCTTTAGAATGGGCTTTTACCCGATTAGCTGTTCTGACATTTGATGTAGGATGACATTGACGTCAAAAGCGTCGGATACACAAATCCAAATTTTTTTTTCAAAAAACTTGTGTATCGAATCCTCATTGTAAACTGACTTGGCCAATGTTGTTTTTCCGAGGCCTCCCATACCCACAATCGCCATGACCGCAAGATTTTCTTGATTGTATTTGGAGTCGGTCAAGGTTGTGACTATTTTTGACACATCAGCTTTCCTTCCAACGGGTATTTCATCTTTGCCAAAGAATGCGTTGGTTTGTCTATCCCATCTAATCCCCTGAGAGGTTGCATCTGTATTCCTGGAAACTAGTCCAAGAGGAGATGCTTTCCTCTCGAGATCCACCAAGGATGCATTGATCTTCTGAATTTTATGCGCCATTTGAAGACGAAATGCAAGTGGATTGGAGAGTGAAAAGAAGTTCAGAACCTTTCTCTTCATATGGTTTTGGATTTCGACTTTACGCCGATCAACTTCGTACTTGAATTCATCCAAGACATCCTCAGCATCTTCAGCTACGCCTTTGAGTTTCTTCACCCATTCCTCTATTGCCGGAGCTGTTAGAGAATGAAAACAAGTTAAAATACCTTGTCATTGTAGCATGTGTGCGAGAGATTATAAAGAATTCAAAAAATATACTACCTTGTGGTTTGTGGGCAACATCATTCAATAAAAGTTCAATGGTAGTGAATGACTCTCTAAGCTTTCGAAGTTCAGCTTTGAAACCCCATGCAAGACTGAATTGTTTCTCAGCAAGTGAAAGCACCTTCTTCAGTATTCCCTCCGCAGCAAAAGTAAGCACAACTTCGGCTGCCATTCCTTTAATTCCCTGCAACTCAGCTAATCACAGTGTTTAATTTCTCTCTCGGATACAAATTACAGTACAAGGGCAATGGAGGATGATATGGTAGACAACAAATGTCGGTCGGTTTAACTTTTTATAACTTGAAAAAGGTGGTGCATCCAAGAATTGGAGGATGTATTCGATCCTTTGCTTAGACTAGTTTAGTTCCTTCCTTCCGTGGTGCTTCCAAGTATCTTACATTTTGAATTTAATTCGTCCTTGTTGATCCTTTGCCTTAGACACGTCTAGTTTCTTCCTTCCATAGTTCTTTCAAGTATCTTACGTTTTGAATTGAATTCGTCCTTGTTGGTGCCTTGAGTGTACCTCCTCCTCCTTTGCCTTGGGTGTACCTCCTTGTCCAGATTCTTATCGTGTTTCTGAATTTTCTCTCTTGTAGGGCAATACTTTTGCCTTCTAACTTATGAGAACTTTCTCATTCACTTGTTCTTTCCTTCCTCATTGCTTTCGAGAATCTTACCCTTTGCTAAATTGCTTTCAAGTTCTAACTCCGTTTCTTGATGTCTTCACTGTACGTACTAACCCTTATGTCTCATCGATGTCACGTAATGCTTTAGCTCTTTTTCACCAATAATCATAAACAAGAAATCATGCGTGCATTAGAGAATAACACCCCCATATACACAGTTAATATCAATCAACAATTTTGAACCCCGATAAAAGATACGAGTAGCACTCTATATACACAGTTAATCTTACCCTTTGCTAAATTGCTTTAAACTTTCTCATTCTTTCTAAAAGCACCCCTCGTCCTCTCTGATGTGAAATTCATGTGCTGCCTTACGGTTTACGCAACTCTATTTCTTATTGTATCAATCAAAGCCCGTTGTTAGGCCCATACAACAAAATTTGGGGAGATAACATTTTCAAGCCCATTCACTTTTAGCCCAGTCTCCAACCCTGTATCAAAAACGACTTATATGGAACATGTTCACCATCACTATAACGTTTCAGTCTAATAATACAATATAATGTGTAAGTTTTCTTGGGCATGACATTGCATTATTAAACAGAAATACCACATGGCAGTGAATCTGTTATATATAAGTAGCTCATTTGTTTTTCACACAACCAAGTCATCTTTTTTTTTTTTTTTCTTTCTTTCAAGCAACAATATTTGGGGTGAGAATTAGGGGTAAGCTAATGAGTCGGACTTAAATTGGCATTGAATTCACCATCTAAAGGAGCCCATAGTCGAGCTTATGGCATCCCACTTAAAAGTAAAATAAACAATCGATGCATATTCCACTTTCGAGTTTAGACAACGTCGAATTAGTAACAAATACATGGTCAGCACAACAAAGAATAACTTATATGACATAATCGTTCTACTTCTACAATCACAATCGACTACAAACACGAAAGCTATAACAAAAGAATATCTCGGTTCATCCGTATATCTTAATGTCATGGAAGAAAACCCCTGCATTGATGCTCACCAAACAGGTCCACAACGCGTCGTCCCTTAACAGTTTGCACACAGAATTGAATTACACCGAGAAGCATACGTTGGCAAGCAAGCTCAAGAGTCGTTCGGGAGGACGAAGCAATAGAAGAGTTAAGTGAACCATTACAGACCAGTTTTGGCACGCTTCATCCCGCTTGAAGTGAAAGGAGAGACACTACCATATGGTTGAGGGCTCTCTTCTCGTAAATTGGATTTCAGCATAGCTAGTTCTCTCAATTGTTCCCTCGTAGTGGTCTTGTGACTCATCCTGAAATGAAAAATGACAATTTAATATCCATGATTTTTGTGAAAAAAATGTGATTAAAAACCGAGAGTTATAGCTCACAGTTTGTGTGAAAAAATGCAATTAAAGACCAAGAAGCACTTTTATATGAATGAAGAACATCTACGTATTGTCCATTGAGGGAAGGAGAAATCAGTTTCATGATTTGTTGCAATACGTATTTGAGAAAAAAGATACCTGATAGCGTAAAAGCAAAATAAGTATTTGTATTGGAAAGCCGAAGGGACGAGTCAAAAACGATACCATAGGTTTGAGAAGTTCTTCTATGATTTGTTTTGCCTGTCTCAACCGCATATCAACAATATTAGCAGGCAATTCAGCCTCAATTATAATGTGCAGTGGATCATTCAGATGCTCATAACCCGGTCTTCCCCTCAACGATTCCTCCTTGAGAATAACAAGGCAAGAAACACGTGTCAAAATACATATACAAAATAGATAGCATAAAATGGAACACAAGAAGGAGAAAAAAATGAACTTGATTTGAAATAATGAAAATTTCTTTTCTTAATAAATGACAAAACAGGGAATAATTCTACCTTGTCAATATCTCTTATTGAACATTTTCCTCTTATGTACACACGACAACCTGTAGAAGCTTCCACCCGCTTTAGTGAATTGCCTCTAGGACCCAGAAGCCGGCCAACAAAATTGAACTACAAAATACAAGTTTCAGTACCACAAACAAGAGAATTCTGAGATAAGGTCCTTAAATAAGAACTTTTTTTCTCAGTCGATCATTAAATCATGTGCGGCTGAGAATTCTGAGATGCTTTGAGAAACATGTACTTATTTTAAGAACCTTATTAAATAATAACTCTGTGTGTGTGTGTGCGCGCTTGCGCATGCAAACACCTCCCAGTAAACATGTTTTTGTTAGCCTTAAACCAACTACCTTGAATTTAAGATTGCAATTTAGCAACGTTTCTTAACGCACTGTCAAGTTATATGAGTGGCTTACATTTGGAAAGCTGTCTACTGGAATATCCAAGCGCAAATCTCTTCACAATGTAGGAACTTGGACTTGATGGTGCAACTTGCACTCCATATTCATCCCTTGTGGACCACCTAATCTCTGTTACATTAGACAACCAAAGCCAAACTATTGAAACTAGACGCAAAAAAGATGAACAGATGTAATGTTGCGGTTACTGATAAAAAGATAAAACTGAGAAAAAGAGGGGAAGATGGGAAACCTGTAGCGCATTCCATATAAAATAAATGTGAAAAAGAGTATTATAATACAGTCAACGTAGTGGTAATCCAAACTTGTCAAACAACACAAAATGGCAAGAGAGTAAATAAAATCAATTAAACTTTAACCGTATTATAAAGCTGAAACTTCCACTATTTACCATATAATAATGGATTTAGTGGTATATGAAGCCAGTGCATTTACTGAAACTCCTCACTCTCCAATGTCAGATGACATAAATGGACGGTTTATCATTAATATGATACAGAATTGAACAATCGCGATTATAAAATTTTTATCGTGATTATACGTTGGGAGAATCCATGCAAGTGTTTTGATCGGAATCCCAATGCTCCCCTTACAAGTATTATACCAAAACAACTTAAGAAAATTATAGACCACAAATTTCAATCCTTCTAACATATTGAAGAAACAATCCAGTTGAAAGAATTTGGTGAGAAACAAAAAAATTGAAAATGGTCAACACTTTCAGATTCACAATGCCACTAATCGAGAAACTCCACAGGTCCTCTGGTCGTCGGAAGTTGTAACTTTCGATTGTCAATCGAAGCTAACGAAGAAATGCCAGTTGAGACGAGTTGGTGAATTAAAATCACAAAGAGAAACAAGTCTGGGCCTGTGGAACGAAGGATAATCCGCTGAAGGATGAACAATTAAGTCCAAATTCGTTGGCATCGTATATTTCTCAGCATCCCCACTAGACATTTGAGAAATTGCATGATCCAACTTAGTGCCATCAGCAAGTAGAAGCTGCAGGAAAAAAAATTACTATGAGTATTAACTTTCAAACTAATTCTGTACAGTAAAACAGAGAGCCTGATAAGACCGCAGCAGAAAAGCTCGCATACTGTGTAAGTTGCAATTTTGGCAGCATGAATCCCTCTGCTCTAGCATTTTCATTTCCTATCGTAGAAATTTACATCCTCAACAGCATACCCTGCCACCATTGAGGCATAGTGAGTTCCATGAACGAAAAAAGCCCTTGAAGACTGGCATGAGTCATATCAAAGTTCAATGAGCTTGCTGCAAAATGAACATTTCATATGGTTACTCTCATAATAATATCACTCTTGATAATTTCAGCAATAAAATTGGTACTCAACAGTCATCAAGTTACTCAAGCGATATCAATTACAGACACAAAATCAACAGAATTCAAATAATTGTGCATATGATTCATAAATTACAAGGAGCCCCAAAATTCTCAGTCTAAAATCTTCATAAGAAAGCAATTACAGCAGTTCTATAATTATATAACAATCGTTAACCTAAAAACAAGTCTCGAGATATATAAACAATTTTCCTCATTGTGCAGGCACCAATGGAATAAGTAAACTGCAGGAGATGGAAGCAACAAATGTGATAAATCTACCACTACCATTGTGATCAGGATAAAAAATCATTAGCTTGCAATGGATGAAAGTATGAACTAATATCTCCAAGTAAAACAACAAACACCACATCGCTGGGAAAACATATCTTGTGCTATCCGTACCTAGACTCTGCTTGCACCTACTGCACATTCGAGTAAGAGCGTCCTGAAAAAACACCATAGTATGCCAACAGAATTATATATGCCATTGGAAAGCACAGCATATGTATATTAAGTTAACTTAATTACTAGAAGAGAAAAGGGGGTGGGAGTCTGAAAAACTTACGTTGCTTAGTTCAGTGCGAAGTAAATTGGCGAGGTGTCGCATGGCTTCGACCCAACCACTCTGGTAAAGCCTTCACTCCCTCAAATAGTCGATACCTAAAGCAGTTAAAGAAGTGAAGTGTTGAATTTGATGAGGCAGAGACTTGAGCAATGGCCACCTGTTCAAATGTAACGATTCAAGTTCCAGTGATCCAACTTGAACATCAGGATAGAAATTGAGCCTCCCTCCCAGAACCTGCCAATGCCCTTTTTTTTTTTTTTTTTTTTCAATTCTTGAATTATTGCAGACCTTCTAGCAGATTTAAACTTTTCAACTGATAGTACAATGCTTGGAATATCATATAGCATAGCAAACTGAAGATTCTTTTACCTAATTTCTGCAAAAATGCAGGTATTCAAATCATTGTTCATAAATCACAAGTAACCATAAATTATATCAGCCCAAAATCTACATAAGGATAACAACAAAACAAAAAGCAATGCAGTAATTCTATATATTATATGAACATGGTTTTACATGACTACAAATCTTGGCATTACTCATCTAACACTACTTGGCGCTGGCACTGTGTGATTAAACAAGATTCAATCCTATGATGGATATTCAAGCTTGCGGTTCAGCACTCATACAGATGAACTAAATAACGTAAACATATACCGAACTTATGTTGCCGAAACTAAGAAAGATAACATGTAAAAGAGAATGCCCACATGGTTACCACTAGAAGAGGCTTGCTAGCTTGATAAGGACTGTACTTAAAGGTATATCATTGAGAAAGGAGGGTAGATCAAGAAATTAATATTTTGTGCATCAGTACCTGGACTCAGTTTGCACCAATGAAGCATCCTGAAAAACACCACAGCATGCCAAAAGAAATATAGATGCCAATGGGAAACACATAATATATATAGTAAGTCAGAAGTCAACACTACTAAGCATTTAGAAGAGAAGAGGAGGTACGGATTTGAAAAGCTTACCTGGATTAATTTCAATGCAGAAGTTGGAGCCCTGTGGAGTCGTTTGTACATACAACTGGAATAGAAATAATCTTGGAGAACTGTGGCCTTGCACACCATGAAATTTGGTAAGGTACAGCCTACCATCGATTCAACTGATGTGTGACTTAAAAAGGAGAAGTGAGGTGTTGAATTTGTTGAGGCAAAGACTTGAGCTCCTCCCAGAACCCACCGATTTCCAAATAACGGAGAGAATGGAGGCTGTCTAAACTTGGAAGACTCTCTAAATTCGCGATGTCTCTTATTGTCAGCATCTCAAGAGAGTGGGAATTGCAGGCTTGAAAATTATTGAGTAATTGAAGTTCTTTTACCTAATTTTTGCAATAATGGGGTATTTGACATTTCATCAAGTTAGTCAAGGATATGAAATAGAGATAAATAATCAACCAAATTCAAATAACTGTTTATACGATTCGAAAATCTGTTCATAAATCACATGTAACCATAAAAATATCAGTCCAAAATCTTCATAAGGATAACAATAACAAACAGAAGGTAATTGCAGTAGTTCTAAATATTATATGAACATGGTTTTACACGATGACAATTATTGGCATTACTCATCTAACACTGCTTGGGTGCTGGCAGTGTGTGATTAAACAAGATTCAATACCATGAAATTTGGTTTTCCCAATACACATTTGTTGTAGTGTCGCAAGGCGTTGCATAGCTTCAATCCAACTCTTGTCTCAGAAGAAGCCTCGTTGGCCCATAACTGATTTAAAAGAAGAGGGAGAAGGATAAACAAATTATGTTATACTAGTTTAAATTTGAGTGTAGTACTATTGGAGACACGAAATAAAGAAGAAACGTTAGCTCTATTATTTGATTTCAATAATTTAAAACTTACTCATGAAATCTCGAATGTGAGAAATCTTAGGCCAATCTGTGCCGCTGTTCCTCCTGCATCTTTCCTCTAGAAGGGGATGGCATCCATAAATATAGAGAAATTCTAATTTGGTGAGGCGTTGCATAGCTTGGACACTTGGTAAATTCTTCAGATTCTTGCAACCTTGAATCTCCAGCGATGTAAGGGATGTAAGGCTACCCAACCATTCTGGCAAAGTCTCCACTCCCTCAATTCGAAATATCCACAATTCTGTTAGAGAAGTGAGGTGTTGAATTTGTTGAGGCAGAGACTTGAGCTTAGGCCAACCATACAAGGTTAGATTCGTTAATGATCCAACTTCAAATCAGGGAAGGAATCGAGCTCCCCCCAGAACCCACCGATCCACAATGTCTGCAAGCCAGTGGGCCACTGTAGCCCCGTTGGCAGATATTTTAGGTTTCGCCAATTTTACAATCCACAAAGTACGGAGAGAATGGAGGTGGTCTAAACTTGGAAGAATGTGTAAATTAGGCATACCACATAATTATCAGCGTCTCAAGAGAGAGTGGGAATTGTAGGCTGCTCACCCAACTTTCTAATCTTTCACAATAGTAAATATCTAGTAGTCGAAGGGAGGTCATGGTGCGCAAGTCTGAAGTAGATTGTAGGCTAATGCACTCCTCCTCCTTCTCAGCTCTGCTACTTTTGACACCAACGATGATAGCTTTGGGCAATCCCCTATCACCAATTCCTGAAGAGAGGGACATTGTTGTGGAAGAGCAGGTAAGCTTGCTAATTCACGGCAATCACAGATTGTCAATTTCTGAAGAGAGTCGGTGAGGGACCCGCTGCCTTTAATTTCAATTGATGTCAGATTATTGCAATTCCGTATTGTCAATTCCACGAGACAGGCCCCTGCACTCAATGGGACTGATATTCCATTGTAATTCCCTATACTCACTTCCAAGAGAGAGGCCCCTAAACTTAATGGGCCTGATAATCCATCGCAATTCTCTATACTCAATTTCTGGAGAGAGGTGCATCTCTTTAACCCACTCGGTTGGCGCGACAATCCTTCACAAGAAGACATCTCCAACTTTTGGAATAGAAAATTACTCGAAGCAATTTTTCAATCTAGAACAATTTTTTACGGTCAACATCTCGAGACAAGGAAAACCACAAGTTTTTTTCCTGACATTGTTGGTACTTGCTTCCATTCATTTAGATCATCACACTCAGAAATATGTAATACTTTTAACTTTGGAAATAAAGTAATCATCTCCTTACTTGGCGTGGCTACAAGATCATAACCATAGAACTCAAGCTCCAACACATTTCAAGCTAGCCATTCCTTTAATATTAAGCTCCGTAAGATTGGGTAGATGACCGAGCGGTGGGACTCCTTCACATTTGTCACATCCAAGTAACTCAATCTTCTTCATCAACCCATTCATCATCCACGTTGGAAACTTATCGCCCATGAAGTTTTCAATACTTAAGTTCTCCAACTCAAGATGTGGTCGGAGGCCTTCTAGGACACCTTCCTCCTCGTTGTCAGTTGTTGACCTATCTTTTGTCCACTTGAAGTGTAAATGGCGTACTTTCGTCTTATCCTCTAACTTAGCTTTCTTTGCTTCTTCTCCATTCTTCACATGCTCCAAATGACAAACAATTAATTCACCCTTCAATTGTTTCAGGCCAGCCAACTCTTCAATTCGACGACCAATCTCATTACCCACCGAAAAGTAAGGTAATGTTTGAAGGCAAGTTAGCTGCCCTATTCCCTGTGGAAATTTCGTCCTCATGTCAAAGTAAATATGCCTCAGGTTGATCAAGTTTTGCAGTTCTTTTGGAAACTCTTTAAGGGCACAATTCACTGCTCTTAATGTCTGAAGGTTATAGAGCTTGCCTATAGATTTGGGGAGAGCTTTGAATCTTGTTTTAGAAATGTCAAGATACCTTAAGTGTTTCAGCCTACCAACTGAAATTGGAAGTTCTTCAATATTAGCATTCCATAAATTCAAGACGCGTAAAGCTTTGAACCGTGGAAGAATGTTAGCAGGAACTTCACTGTTGTCGGAAAACAGTGACCGCAATTTCCCAACACTTCTTGCTGGAATATTTTCCAGTGTAGAAGTAGAAACCCGAGCAACATGTCGAATCTCAAGTGTATTATCTATGCCACATAAGTCTCCCATCAAGCTTTCAGATTTGGACACAAGTTCTGCCAAATCGTGCACAAGATCATGCATCTTGCATTTGGTAACAATGCCATTGTCACCCATCGTAGCATCTTGAAACAAGGAGCTCTGCAATAGAATATCAAAATACTCATTGCCTGTGTCCTCCATATCTTTACTTTCGTCATGCGAAGCACGGAGTAGTCCTTGAGCCATCCAAAGTTGAATCAAGTTGTCTCTTTCAATTTCAAAGTCTTTCTCGAACATTGAGCAATATGCAAAACATTGCTTCAATGATGGTGATTCTAAATTGTCAAAACTCAACCTCAGGACTGGCATAATTCCATCTTCTCCTTTCGGTAAGTTGTTCCATATTCTATTGTTTTTAAACAACGACCATTCTTCAATGCTTTTTTTAGTGCGCAACATGCCTCCCAAAACCTGTTAATTGGATTAGAGAGTTTCTATCACATATTATCTACGGGGTACAGTAGTTCAACTGAAGTTGATGGAAAAGAAAAAGAAAAACAAGGAATAGTTTCATTTAATTTCAAGAAAAAACTGGGAGTAGTTTAGATCTAAAATTGACTTTAAACTTTAAACTATTAGATTGGAGATGCCCTAACAAAATACCAATTTAAGTCATAACAAAATAATTCATCCAATAACAATGCAAATGCTTTAAACCGCTTCAACTAATTTAACTGATTTTTACTAGACTTGTTCCTTTTTCTAAAGTTTTAATCCCTCTTGGAAGACCAATGTAAATTGAATCTTCAAATTCGAACACAATTCATCATTTTGCAAATAATATAACTAAAATTCAAGGGGCTTAGACCTGTTTGTTTACTACCAAACAAATGAATTTAAACGACAACCATGAAAATGAACGGTTCCATATTATACTGTTTTTCAAACGACAATCATTCTTCAATACTTTTTTTGGTGTGCAAAATGCCTCCTAAAACATGCTAATTGGATTAGTGAGTTTCAAAGGTGTCCTAAAACAATGTAGAAAATCGGGACTTGTATAAAATTTGGAAGTTTTGGCTTCCTTAATTATGAATCCCCTTGCCTAAAAGGACAAAATCTAAGCCATGTGCAAAATTATATATTAGCTTCCATTATTTTTGGTGTTTGACGTATTTCCCAAAGTACCCATTAAGTAGTTAAAACTTAAAAACATGTTTTATTCTTGATTTGTTGGGATAATGAATTAATTTTATAGGATATTTGGCCAATGGTCAATAAAACTTTACTAATTAGCCATATATCAATGGATAATTTTATTTTTGGACATAATTAATGAAATATTTATAGTAATTATGCATAGGTCAATAGAGCATGCCACGTAAGTTTAAGCTAGTTATAAAATGACTATTATACCCTTCTCTCTTCACTTTATTCCATTCCTTATTTCTTTCACTCTCCTTATTTACTTCATTTTCTCCCAATTTTCTATCATGTCTCTATCTCCCCTTCTTTCTCTTCACTCTCTCATGTTTATCTCTCTTATACATGCCTCTCTATCTTTCTTTCTCTTCCATCAAACCTGAACAAATAGTTCGATTAATCCCAGTGCTCTGAAACTTCCCCATTGCCAAACACAATCACAATGGCGAGAGAAAAAAATTAAATTCCAAAAAAAGTGCAACAATCGGCAGCAAAAACAAAACGCAAGCAAAAAAAAAAAAAAAAAAAAAAAAAAGAGATGTAATAGATATCCAACAAATCTTCAAAGGCTTTGGACATGGAGATTGTCTTAAGGGTAGTGTCCATCAAAATCCTCTTGAATTAAAGGTGCGTTTGCAAAGAGTTTTGCAGTTTGCAATTCAAAATCAAGAAACAGACACGTCATGTGTTTAAATTTAAATATAAAAGGTTGCACAAGTGCGAAGCATAGGAAATGAAAAAAAACAACCAGAAAACAAACACTGCAACATAGTGTCTAAATCACAACGTAAAAAGAAAAGAAGAAAAAAAAAAGAATCAGGAAACAAACACTGCATTACAGTGTCTGAATAAAAATATAAAAAACAGAACCAGGAAACGAACATTGCATTGTAGTGTTTGAGTCTAAATGTAAAAATAATATAAAAACCAGAGCAGGAAACGAACGTAGTGTCTAAATCCAAATGTAAAAATTAGGAGTTGCGTGAGGTGTGAAAAATAAGAGGTGTGTGTGATAAAAAAAAAAAAACAAAACCAGAAAACTAACACTGTAACGCAATGCCTGAATCCAATAAAACCAGAATCAGAAAATAGACACTTCGTTGCAGTGTCTAAATCCGTATTGACTTATTCCAAAATATGAAAATATGAGAAAATGATTGTCATTTAAAGTGGATGCCAGCTGTAATAGCACATTTTGTAATTTTTTTTATCTTAAATGTATTTAAGTATCACAATACATGATTGATGTATTTATAATTAACAAAAATATGATTGATATATTGTTAATATTGTAACTTTTTATTGATTTTATACCAAATCATCCAATTTTATCTAGTTTCTGCTTCGTTCAAATCAATAAGTTGCTATTGTTGGTTTTGGTAAAAAAAAAAAAAAAAGGTTAGAGACACCACATTTTGTATACTATATAACATATAAGTGATGTGTATGTGCTATGCCAATTAATAATTTTAGTGAAATTTCCACACCATCTAAAAGGTCATTCTACGTAATTGTACTTTAAAAATTCAAATTCAATTCAACCATTTTTCAAATAATATAAAATAAGTGCAAATCTCATGTTTTATATAATAGTACGCACCTTTGCCACCAATGGAACACCACCGCAATTTTCAGCAATCTCCCTTCCAATTGTATCAAACTCAGGATCCCTGTTATTGGTGAAAGCTCTATTTTTCATGATGGACCAACATTCATCCACAGAAAGTTTTCCCAATTCATGTCGCGGAAGTAGCTTTTCTAAGATTGATGCGACTTTATCTTTGCGAGTGGTGACAATAATTTTGGATCCTTTAGCAGAACTAAGCTTTGACAAACATTCCATGAAACTCTCCCATAGTTTGGAGTCTTCGTTCCAAACGTCATCAAGTACGAGTAAGTATTTTTTATCTTTCAACTCTTCGTCAAGGGACAAAAGCAGATTATGCTGATTATCTTTAGAAGGGGCTTTTTCCCGATTAAGTTGTTCTGACATTTGATGTAGGATGAAATTGACGTCAAAAGCGTCGGATACACAAATCCAAATTTTTTTTTCAAAAAACTTGTGTATCGAATCCTCATTGTAAACTGACTTGGCCAACGTTGTCTTTCCGAGGCCTCCCATACCCACAATCGCCATGACCGCAAGATTTTCTTGATTGTATTTGGAGTCGGTCAAGGTTGTGACTATTTTTGACACATCAGCTTTCCTTCCAACGGGTATTTCATCTTTGCCAAAGAATGCGTTGGTTTGTCTGTCCCATCTAATCTCCTGAGAGGTTGCATCTTTATTCTTGGAAACTAGTCCAAGAAAAGATGCTTCGCTCTTGAGATCCACCAAGGATGCATTGATCTTCTGAAATTTAGGCGCCATTTGAAGACGAAATGCAAGTGGATTGGAGAGTGAAAAGAAGTTCAGAACCTTTTTCTTCATATGGTTTTGGATTTCGACTTTACGCCGATAACCTTCGTACTCGAGTTCATCGAAGACATCCTCAGCATCATGGGCTATGTCTTTCAGTTTCTTCAACCATGCCTCTATTGACGGATCTGTTGGAGAATGAATACAAGTTAAATAACTTTTCAACGTAGCATGTGTGTGCGGGCTTAGAGAAAGAATACAAGTTAAATACCTTGTGGTTTGTCGGCAACATTATTCAACAAAAGTTCAATTTTAGTGAATGACTCTTTAAGCTTTTCGAGTTCAGCTTTGAAACCCCATGCAAATTTGAATTCTTTCTGAGCAAGTGAAAGCACCTTCTTCAGTATTCCCTCCGCAGCAAAAGTAAGCACAGCTTCAGCTGCCATTCCTTCGATTCCCTGCAACTCAGCTAATCACAGTGTTTAATTTCTCTCTCGGATACAAATTACAGTACAAGGGCAATGGAGGATGATATGGTAGACAACAAATGTCGGTCGGTTTAACTTTTTATAACGTGAAAAAGGCCGTGCATCCAAGAATTGGAGGATGTATTCGATCCTTTGCTTAGACTAGTTTAGTTCCTTCCTTTCGTGGTGCTTCCAAGTATCTTACATTTTGAATTTAATTCGTCCTTGTTGATCCTTTGCTTTAGACACGTCTAGTTTCTTCCTTCCATAGTTCTTTCAAGTATCTTACGTTTTGAATTGAGTACGTCCTTGTTGGTGCCTTGAGTGTACCTCCTCCTCCTTTTCCTTGGGTGTACCTCCTTGTCTAGATTCTCATCGTGTTTCTGAATTTTCTCTCTAGTAGGGCAATACTTTTGCCTTCTAACTTATGAGAACTTTCTCATTCACTTGTTCTTTCCTTCCTCATTGCTTCCCAGAATCTTACCCTTTGCTAAATTGCTTTCAAGTTCTAACTCCGTTTCTTGATGCCTTCACTGTACGTACTAGCCCTTATGTGTCATCGATGTCGACGTAACGCTTTAGCTCTTTTTCACCAAATCATCATAAACAAGAAATCATGCATGCATTAGAGAATAACACCCCATATACACAGTTAATATCAATCAACAATTTTGAACCCTATAAAAGATACGAGTAGCACTCTATATGCACAGTTAATCTTACCCTTTGCTAAATTGCTTTAAACTTTCTCATTCTTTCTAAAAGCACCCGTCGTCCTCTCTGATGTGAAATTCATGTTCTGCCTTACGATTTACGCAACTCTATTTCTTATTGTATCAATCAAAGCCCGTTGTTAGGCCCATAAAACAAAAATTGGGGAGATAACATTTTCAAGCCCATTCACTTTTAACCCGATCTCCAACCCTGTATCAAAAACGACTTATATGGAACATGTTCACCATAACGTTTCAGTTTGATAATACAATATAATGTGTAAGTTTTCTTGGGCATGACATTGCATTATTAAACAAAAATACCACATGGCAGTGAATCTGTTATATATAAGTAGCTCCTTTGTTTTTCACACAACCAAGTCATCTTTTTTTTTTTTTTCTTTTTCTTTCAAGCAACAATATTTGGGGTGAGAATTAGGGGTAAGCTAATGAGTCGGACTTAAATTGGCATTGAATTCACCATCTAAAGGAGCCCATAGTCGAGCTTACGGCATCCCACTTAAAAGTAAAATAAACAATCGATGCATATTCCACTTTCGAGTTTAGACAACGTTGAATTAGTAACAAATACATGGTCAGCACAACAAAGAATAACTTACATGACATAATTGTTCTACTTCTACAATCACAATCGACTACAAACACGAAAGCTATAACAAAAGAATATCTCGGTTCATCCGTATATCTTAATGTCATGGAAGAAAACCCCTGCATTGATGCTCACCAACGCGTCGTCCCTTAACAGTTTGCACACAGAATTGAATTACACCGAGAAGCATACGTTGGCAAGCAAGCTCAAGAGTCGTTCGGGAGGACGAACCAATAGAAGAGTTAAGTGAACCATTACAGACCAGTTTTGGCACGCTTCATCCCGCTTGAAGTGAAAGGAGAGACACTACCATATGGTTGAGGGCTCTCTTCTCGTAAATTGGATTTCAGCATAGCTAGTTCTCTCAATTGTTCCCTCTTGTAGTGGTCTTGTGACTCATCCTGAAATGAAAAATGACAATTTAATATCCATGATTTTTGTGAAAAAATGTGACTAAAAACCGAGAGTTATAGCTCACAGTTTGTGTGAAAAAATGCGATTAAAGACCAAGAAGCACTTTTATATGAATGAAGAACATCTACTTATTGTCCATTGAGGGAAGGAGAAATCAGTTTCATGATTTGTTGCAATACGTATTTGAGAAAAAAGATACTTGATAGCGTAAAAGCAAAATAAGTATTTGTATTGGAAAGCCGAAGGGACGAGTCAAAAACGATACCATAGGTTTGAGAAGTTCTTCTATGATTTGTTTTGCCTGTCTCAACCGCATATCAACAATATTAGCAGGCAATTCAGCCTCAATTATAATGTGCAGTGGATCATTCAGATGCTCATAACCCGGTCTTCCCCTCAACGATTCCTCCTTGAGAATAACAAGGCAAGAAACAAGTGTCAAAATACATAAACAAAATAGATAGCATAAAATGGAACACAAGAAGAAGAAAAAAATGAACTTGATTTGAAATAATGAAAATTTCTTTTCTTAATGAAATGACAAAACAGGGAATAATTCTACCTTGTCAATATCTCTTATTGAACATTTTCCTCTTATGTACACACGACAACCTGTAGAAGCTTCCACCCGCTTTAGTGAATTGCCTCTAGGACCCAGAAGCCGGCCAACAAAATTGAACTACAAAATACAAGTTTCAGTACCACAAACAAGAGAATTCTGAGATAAGGTCCTTAAATAAGAACTTTTTTTCTCAGTCGATCATTAAATCATGTGCGGCTGAGAATTCTGAGATGCTTTGAGAAACATGTACTTATTTTAAGAACCTTATTCAATAATAACTCTGTGTGTGTGTGCGCTTGCGCATGCAAACACCTCCCAGTAACATGTTTTTGTTAGCATTAAACCAACTACCTTGAATTTAAGATTGCAATTTAGCAACGTTTCTTAACGCACTGTCAAGTTATATGAGTGGCTTACATTTGGAAAGCTGTCTACTGGAATATCCAAGCGCAAAATCCTCTTCACAATGTAGGAACTTGGGCTTGATGGTGCAACTTGCCACTCCATATTCATCCCTTGTGGACCACCCAATCTCTGTTACATTAGACAACCAAAGCCAAACTATTGAAACTAGACGCAAAAAAGATGAACAGATGTAATGTTGCGGTACTGATAAAAAGATAAAACTGAGAAAAAGAGGGAAGATGGGAACCTGTAGCGCATTCCATATAAAATAAATGTGAAAAAAGAGTATTATAATACAGTCAACGTAGTGGTAATCCAAACTTGTCAAGCAACATAAAATGGCAAGAGAGTAAATAAAATCAATTAAACTTTAACCGTATTATAAAGCTGAAACTTCCACTATTTACCATATAATAATGGATTTAGTGGTATATGAAGCCAGTGCATTTACTGAAACTCCTGCCTTAACCACACTTTGACTATATCCTGGATCAAAATGAATTCACAATTGAGAAAGCCGCCTAATGCAAACACATGAATTCAGAAAAAGTCAGTGGATAACTGACCCAGGAAGAAACAATGCCGTAGGCTGATACATAAGAATGTTTTGGCAGTCCTCAAGTCCACAAAAAGAGTAAGCAACACTGTGTCTCAACCTGTGGATAGAAGACCACCATAATTAACTTCCATATTCCCCATACTGCATTGCACATTCTAATCCCACTTCAGGCAAGATCCAAGTCTTCCGAGTGGAATACTACTGGCTATCTCTCAGGACCTGAATATGCTTTCTTCTTGCTGAATGCCACACTACTATTTACGAGTTTTATAACTAGTTTTTCAGACTGACATTCTTTTCATACCAGTTACAGAGGCATGCACAGACAAACATACAAATCTAGCAGGAAACTCATTTAGGCATATGCATATTAATTAAATCAGGCAGGGGGCAGCAAGAAAGATAATCAATAAACTACTGTGTTATATATAAAATAAAATGAAAGTGCGGATGTGCAAAATAATGGTGTTGCATTAGGGAGTATATAATTGCCAACACTTACATCATGAGGCCGTCCGTTCCAGCCACCGAGGCCTGACCCTCTATATTTTGGCATTATGTCTGAACCAATAGGGCTAGGACTTCCACGTTGCAGTCTGTCAAAGTCACCAAACCCTTGGTTGGGCATCATTCCAGAGACGCGAATTATCTCTATCAATACAGAAGAGTACCCAAGTTAGCAATTTCCTTCCTCAACATAGAACACAATGAAAACAAGAATATAGAGCATGGAATCAGTTTCCTGTCTGAGTTCAGCTCGTCAATATTACGAATAGAAAACTCATGAGTAGGAGTGATTAGTGATTACACGAAATGATGGAACACATAACGTAAACAAACATACAAGTCAACTCCAACACTGGGGGGAAAAAGAAGTGTTCCATTTTACCCCAATGAGTTAAATCTTCATGCCCTTCCTATATGCAGAAAATTTGACATTATACTCTCCTTGTCAACAAGTTCAGATCCTTTTTCCTCAATCATTTCATAGTTCATCAATTACCCAATTCCGAAATACAGAAAGGAACAGCAGGTATAGCTTTTTCATGGCATAATCACAATTGGGTCACGGGAAAAAGATGAAAGACTCCGGTTTCAGCACAAACAACATCCAGAAAAGCTATTAAACAATACACAGAGAGAGAGAGAGAACAGCATACAGAGCTTTTCCATTGCACAATCTCAATTGGGTTCACAAACAAAAGCTCAAAAACACCGAAAACAATTCCAAATCCGAATCAGAACACAGAAAATAAGAACTTAATCCGATAGTAAAAAGATGGTTTTGGTAGAAACCTTGATTCAAGAGGCGGCCGCATATGGGGACGACCTGAGCGAAAGGCCCGAGCTTTTGGTGCTCCGCCAACAGCTCCGTCAAGTACTGGCTGTCCACATCCGGCAGCGTTCTCAGGTGCGGAGAAAGCGCTCTCGCCGGTGAGAAATTCTGAGCGTATGAACCCGACATTGAAATCCCAATGGAGGAAAAGAGCTAAGAAGGGTACAGAATTGAGTGAAATGGTGAGAGACTTGTACTGTGCTGGTCCGCTGAGTTTGCTGGGTAGAAGTGAAAGTAATGGTGTGCAGAGTGGTGGGGTTTAGAATTGAGAGGGTTTTAATGGCGTCTTTTGCTTGCCTGCTGTAGCTAGAGAGAGAAAAAGAGAGGAGAGAGAGGCGATGCGGACTCCATATCTTTCAGAATTCCAGACACTCCTCTCCTCTCTAGCTCCTTCCTTCTCTGTCGTTGCTGTAAGATTTTACGATCGACACCTCACGCCGACACTGACAGGAGGAGGATAGCGAGTGAAACCACGCGCTTTCGCAGCGGGTGAAATCGTGGATCCAATCGGCTGCTGTGGAAAGGTCACCGGATGTGGGACCAGGGGCCGCAGGGTGGGGCCGGATCCAGCTTGTGAGTAGTGCAAATGAAAACCACTCTCCTTTCTCAGGTGGGGCTCGCGTTCCTCCTTCACTCCCTTGAATATTCGCATGATCGCATCGTTAGTCTACACCTCCTACACTATACAATTTTTGTTTAAAAAAATACAATTAGAGATGAGACTAATATTAATAATCGCGTTAGTAATTGTCAACTGTTAATATATTTAAGAACTAGTAGCGGTCTATTAATACGTTATGATTACGATTTATATTGATTATTGTACGCAAGTAGTTACATATTTCTATTGTATTTATTTATGAAAATTATTATTAGCATTTCAAGAATCTTATTCTACACCTTTTACAAGTGTATTTTTCTTTCCAAATATAGAAAGTTTGGAGTGTAAAATGAGATTTTTGGAGTGCCAATAAAAATTCCCGTATTTATATCCGATGATTGTTCACTGATGCGAGATTTATACGCGTACAAATTAAACCCTCTTTTTGACAATTGTAGTATGGATGTAAGTAGGGATCGTTCTGGACCGGGGATTAGGAGGGCTTGCTAAAACCTTCTAAATTGACTTGAGAACATAAAAACAATATAAAACACTAAACTAGACTCAAAGAATGTAAAACTAAAATTTAAAACATTAAGACAAACCAAAAGACTCAAAACTAATTTTGGACGAATTTAAGATTATGGCTTGATTCAAACTACTTTAAAAACACAAACTAAACAGATTCTAAGCACTAAAGAACAAGAAAGTAAAGGGGGGGGGAAAGTTTTGATTTGACGAAAATTGAAATAACAAAACAAGTTAATAAACTGAGCGGAATGTAAATATGAAATTGTGATGGAATGAATGGAATGAAGGCTAGCTAAGGGGTTCTTCTCCACACATGTTATACTTGCATACAAGATTGATTCTCAGTTGGTCTTTCGATAAATTATGAAACTCAACACTCCGGATTAATTTGGTCCGCTTAAATTAACCGTCAAGTTTTCCTTAAGTTAATGAATTGGATGGGTTTGCGCAATGCAATTCACAACATTCTCCAAAAGTCCTTTACGTGAACGGCACAATAAAGATACAATCAAAGATCATTAAGCATTATGAAAACTATAAGTGTTGACGAGGCATTCGTTACTATGATGAGCATGAAACTCGTGCCAAGAATATGTTTAACACGATTGTTTATAAGCAACCTCCACTACTTGTGAATATAAGTTCATAACGATTAGGTGAAATTCACTTATATTCTAGCGTCATATTTATGCATGAAAATTAAGTGCGCATTCTTAATAAACATTCATAAATAAGCTATCAATCAAACGGTTAAACGAATTGAATCCACAACTTATGAAATTCCAACGAAAGTTAATCAATTCATATTGCAAATATAAACATAGTTTCGAATCACCCCCTACCTAAAGGGGGTTTAGTTCCTCATAACTTTGAAATCAAAGAAACACCTAAACATTCCAACAACTCAAAGCTTGAATTGTATGAACGTTTAAGCACTCTTCTCTTCCATACATACAAAACAAAGAGAATTAAAATGAAACTTTGAAATCAAAGAAACACCTAAACATTCCAACAACTCAAGCTTGAATTGTATGAACGTTTAAGCACTCTTCTCTTCCTCGTTGTAGCACAAGGTTTAAGGATAGGTTTTGTGATGGTATGAAGTGTTTTGGAGGGATGGGAAGTGGTTGGATAGTGGCTGCAATGGAGGAGAAAAACTGCACAGAAAATGGGAGGTTATGCACGGCAATGAATGTGTGTTTGTGTTGTGTGTTGTATTGTGAATGGAATGGAAAATGAATGAATGAATGCAAGGGTATTTATAGGAGTAATGGAGGGAACATGACAGCTAGGAGGTGGGTGGAAATGTGGCTGAATGTTTGGTGAAGGATTATGAATGAATGCATGTGACTTTGCTAGGTTGGAAAGCTGAAAATCTGAAAATGCAAATGGGAATCTGAAATGCAAAGGTGGCCACGGTTTTGAGTGTATTTTGTGTTGGAAATGCATGTGAATGCATGTGAATGTTGTTTGTGTGAAGTGTATGTGAAATAAAGGGTGAATGGTGGCTGAAATAATGATGGAAAACAGCTAGGAAAAGTATGGAATGCATGTGAATTGTAAAGGGAAAAGCTGGAATTTGCTAGGAAGTCACGGCATGGGATGTTTTGGTGCATTGCGGCTGATTTGTTTGTTGGTTAAAGATGCATGTGGATGAATTATATAATGGGAAAGTATGTGATTGACAACTAGGATGGATTGTGGCTGCAATGATGAAGTGTGATGGTTGAAAATGGCAAGGGAAATGAATGTGTTTGGACGGCAATGATGGTGTTTTGTGCATGTGGCTGCAATGGTGTGTAATGATGGAGGAATAAGTGCATGTGGTTGAATTGGTGGTGAATGTGCATGACAAAGAATGGATTTGGCTGCAATGGTGTGTAATTGGGCTAGGGTTTAAGTGCATGAAATGGACCCAAATTGCTCCCCCTTGCATGGCAAGGAATGGTGTTTGTGTTGAGCCCATGGCAATGTGATTGCAATTGGGTTAGGGCCATTGTTTTGTGTCCTCAAGTGCATATAAGGCCTTCCATTTTATCCATCACTTGGGCTCCAAGAATAAGCTATCCATCCTTAGCCCCATAGTGCTCCAAAAAGGGCCCAAAACACTCCACAATGCATCCTTTCGTCAAACACGTCTTATAATCCTGAAAACACACAAAAGAAGCATAAAGAACTAAAATAACTAAAGAAACATAACGTAAATGCACGAGAACAAGCCATTTAAGTTGCATGAATATGCTCCTATCATGTGTTGTGTGCCAAAGTGTCCACCACATGCATATGTATGGCAAAAACTCAAAATGGAATTAAATTCAGATTCATGAACACAACGACGCACAATCTGATCCGGGCATATTTTCCACAAATAAGGGTCGTCCCAAACATAAAAACGTGCATCCTTTTTTAATTTATCACGTTGAGCCTTGCTTAAAGTGTTAGGAACTTGGTTAGACACCAAAAAATTAACCAAATCGGCATACCAAGGGGTACTTACCTCAACGGACAGAAGTTGTTCATCCGGAAACGTTACTAAAATGGGAAGGTCCTCTTCTTCACGCACCATTCGAATTAGGTGGTCAGCCACCACATTTTCACATCCCTTCTTGTCCCTAATTTCAATGTCGAATTCTTGAAGTAGGAGCATCCAACGAATGAGCCTTGGTTTGGCCTCCTTTTTGGTGAGAAGATACTTCAAGGCTGCAAGGTCAGTGAAAACAATTACTTTAGTACCGATGAGATATGATCTAAACTTATCTAATGCAAATACAACCGCCAAAAGTTCTTTTTCGGTTGTAGAATAATTCAATTGAGCATCATTTAAAGTGCGTGAAGCATAATAAATAACATGTGGCTGTTTGTTTTTCCTTTGGCCCAAAACAGCTCCAAGGGCATAATCCGATGCATCACACATCAACTCAAAGGGAATGGACCAATCTGGTGGAGTGATGATTGGTGCCGTGGTGAGGAGGTCCTTGAGGTGGTTAAATGCTTTCTCACACGCCTCGTTGAACTCGAAAACCACCTCTTTTTGAAGCAATCGGCATAGTGGCTACGCAATCTTGGAGAAATCCTTTTTGAACCGCCTATAAAAACCTGCATGACCAAGAAACGAACGAACCTCTCTAACCAAAGTTGGAGAGGGTAAGTGACGAACAAGGTCTACCTTAGATTTATCTACTTCAATGCCTTTTTCAGAGATAATATGTCCTTGAACAATACCTTGCTTAACCATGAAGTGACATTTTTCCCAATTAAGCACAAGGTTTGTTTCAACACAACGGTTCAAAATCAAACTAAGATTATTCAAACAACCATCAAATGAATTACCAAAAACACTGAAATCATCCATACAAACCTCAATAATTTTCTCAACATAATCTGAAAATATGCTCATCATGCATCTTTGAAATGTGGCAGGTGCATTACATAAACCAAATGGCATGCGACGATAAGCAAATGTACCAAAGGGGCATGTAAAAGTGGTCTTTTCTTGATCATCCGGGGCAATAACAATTTGATTATAACCAGAATATCCATCAAGAAAACAATAAAATGAATGACCCGCTAACCTTTCAAGCATTTGATCTAGGAATGGCAATGGGAAGTGGTCATTCCTCGTGGTGGCGTTTATCTTCCTATAATCAGTGCATACGCGCCAACCGGTTTGGATTCGGGTGGGCACAAGCTCATTCTCCGCATTTTCCACCACCGTCACTCTAGATTTCTTGGGAACACATTGGATAGGTGAAACCCACCGACTGTCGGAGATGGGGTAAATCACTCCACAATCAAGGAGTTTGATTATCTCCTTCTTCACTACTTCCATCATCGGAGGGTTAAGACGGCGTTGAGCCTCTCTAGTTGGTTTGGCCCCCTCCTCAAGAAATATGTGATGCATGCATGTGGCGGGACTAATACCTTTGATATCGGCCAAAGTCCAACCTAGGGCAGATTTAAACTCCTTCAAAACACGCACTAGTTTCTCCTCTTCTTGTGCCGTGAGTGATGAAGAAATAATGGCCGGTAATGTCTCCTCTTCCCCCAAGAAAATGTACTTCAAATGGCTTGGTAGTGGTTTGAGATCAAGGAAAGGTGCCTGAACTATGGATGGAAGCAACTTATTAGTCGAAATGGGAATTGACTCAAAGTTAGAAAACTTACCCTCGTGCCTAGGCAGTGACTCCAGGGCAGCAACCAACTCAAGGCATTCCATACTAGGAGGCACGGCATGCAATGGAGTGTGTGTGTCGTGGGTTATCAAAAGCTCTCCTCCCTTGGTTTTGAGTTCCATGCTTCGTGTAATGACATTTCCAAGTGCATCGGCGTTCAAATCTTCAAGATATCCCTGCGCCAAAGAGTCAATTATATCAATGGAGAAACATGAATGATCCTCACTAGGATACTTAATAGAATCAGAAAGACTAAAATTAACAACTTCCCCATCAAATTCCATGGACAAAGTTCCATTAAACACATCAATCTTTGTCCGAGCTGTCTTCATGAATGGCCGGCCAAGTAGGATTGGCAACGAAGGGGCATGGTCAGATTCATCCATCTCAAGCACATAGAAATCCACCGGAAAGATTAAATGATTTACCTGCACTAACACATCTTCCAAAACTCCCTTTGGATAAGCATTAGATCTATCGGCCAATTGTATAATTACACCATCATTTTTCAATACTCCTAGGTTCATAGATGCATAAATTGAATATGGCATGACATTTATAGAAGCACCTAGGTCTAACATGGCAGATTCAAAATGAGTGTTACCTATGACACAAGGAATGGTAAAACTACCCGGATCTTTGCATTTGGGGGGTAGTTTGCGTTGCAAGATGGCAGAGACATTTTCACCTACCTTTACCACTTCCTTGGTCGACATCCTCTTCCTAGTGGTGCAAAGCTCTTTTAAGAACTTGGCGTACCTC